CTGGAGGCTAGGTACTTAGGAGGGCAATCTGCGTGAGAAGCTTTGTCTTGCCCGATTTCAACAGGAGTCAGACATCCACAGAGCCAGGCTGATGGAGAGGAAACAGATCAGCCAGCCATTCCCGTGCCCGCCCTCCACGGGAAAGACCTGGTCATGTCATCTGAATATCAGATATGCTTTACCCACCTGTGCATTCACTAGGATTCAAGAGGGGCTTTGCAAAACGAATTCTTTTATCTGAAGTTGGAAACATTAACTAGATAAATAGGACAGGTGGGTTTTTGGTGATTTTTTTTTTGTTTTGTGTTTTTTTTTTTCCTCTTTCTTGCCATTGCATGGATCAGAAAGCCAACCCAGAATATGAACACAGGCCCCAAGGACAAGACGGTCCCGGGCACAGCACTGGGGAGGGCCTTCCCAAGTGGAACACCTGTGGCTGCACAAAGTAGTCTCCTCAGCACCCTCCTCCCCACGCTCATTCTCAGGTCCCCATTGGCTCCGCTAGGTCTTGAGTGGCACACTCAGCTCAGGCAGTGACCTTTCCATGAAGCCTGAAGACCAGATTCCGTCCAGGTGGGTGAGGTCAGGCGCCCATCGCTGTGCGTCCACACACCAGCCCATGCCTCCATCACAACAACTGCACACTACATGTGGCAGCCCATGGCTTACCATGGCTCGGCTCCAGTTTTTCAACTTTATGGTGGTGCAGAAGCGATACACATCACACATTACATGAGATATTCAACATTTTATTATAAACTAGGCTTTGTGTTAAATGCTGTTGCCCACCAGTAGGCTAACGTCAGTGTTCTGAACACATTGAAGGTAGGCGAGGCTGAGCTATGATGTTTGGTCGGTTAGGTGTGTTAAGCTATCTGCAAACATGAGGCAGGTGCCGTACTTGGTTCTCAGAGTGGAAGGAATGCAGGAAGCTGACGACAGGCTGCAGGGTGGGCCTTGGTGGGACTTGTCCTCCCTGTGTCTGTCCCTCTGGATACACCCCAGGCAAAGACTCACTCCACCAGGCAGGCTTTCAGGACTCTCCTGTGTTCCGTTCAGGTGTGTGGCTGCATGCAGACTCCAAGGTGAGCTCTCAGCCACTGCCCCATTCATCACCTCCACAGACCCAAGCCCTCAGCACTGTGCCCAGCTGACACATGTAAGAAGGAGTCTGGTCCCTTGAGTCGGTGGGGTCTGATTTAGCACTGAGTCAGCACAGCCACTGGGGAAGAAGTAGATCATTAGGGTTGAAGGAACCCAAAATTCAGAATCAGACAGATTTAGGTGAGAACCACACTTCTGCCACTGACAGGCTGTGTGATCTCAGGAAATTCATCTAAACACTGCAGCGTTGTGTCTGTATCAGTAAAATAGAAGGAGAAGTTATATGAAGCTACTTTTTAATAACAAAGAATTATGTTGTAAAGTATTTTGCACACAAAGGATATTCAGGAATATTGGCCATTATTGGTATGAAAAAGGTCAAGCTTGCAATCCAATAAATCAGGAAGTTATTGATAATATAATGAAATTACTTTGCCGTTATGAAGAAGTTATCATATTGTTGCTTTAGACTGTACAACTTTAAATTAAAAAAGAAAAGAATTTATTTAAGGCACAAATGTCAGAATCAAAGAGATTCATTAGGTGATTGGCCTTCAGCACATTTCTGTACTTCTCTTAGCAGGGGCTCCCTTCTCTCCATTGCGGGCACAATAAAACCCGTGTTTTGGGGCCATGGATGTGAGGACTGAATGAGAGGTGAGGGATGGATGGGGCCAAGCTCAGCCAAGGATAGAGCCGGTTCTCACAAAGTGGTGGCTTTGAAATTCCGTTCCCTGAAGGTGTCCTACTTCATTCTGTGGCTCCAGGTCCTACCAGGATAGGACCCAGCCTGTTCCCTAGCTCCACGTAAGCCTTGGAGTTGAGAGTTGAGAGACCTGAACAAAAACGTTCTCTGGGCACTCAACATCGGCATTGGACTAGGAGTGACTAAGAAGCTCAGGGCAGGCCTGGGGCCATCTGCCTTCTCCCCTGAGCCTTGGCCCTCATCCGTAAGTGAAGGGGGTGGGCAGACAGTGGTTCAGGTGGCTTCTAGCTCTGGCATTCTGTGAGTCTAATTTATAGTTGAGTGAGTTGTCATTCATAGGCCAGGAAGGGCAAAATTATCCTCATTATTCTGCTGGCAGTTCTGCTGCCTGTGAAGCCCCCGGGTCCCGCCACATGTGGAATTAGCTCTGAGGCCTGGGGCTTTTAATTAAAGGGCTTTGTGAGTCAGACGGTTTATGGGAAGATTCAGATCTTCAGGGAGACACGGAGGGAGGGCCCCTGCCCTGTAAGCCACTCCTTGAGCAATGGCTACCGCTCCCAGTGTGAGGATGGGGAATTGGGAGGCGTGCGTGGGGACTTCCGGAAGAGGCTGTAGTTACGTGTCTCTCGCAGCCCTGCCGGCTCCTGGTCCTTGGGCCAGCTGGTATGTTGCATGTCATCGCGTCTTCCCTTGTGAGTGTGTGAGCTGTGCCAGCCACATTTGATTTTGATACAGTTCCCCCTGGTCGCCACAATGCCCTGACTGTTTCTCACCCAGTGCGGTTTCCACTTTGGGTGGTTTGTGCTAAATGTATTTTCAGTCCCGAGTGGGACAAGGATAAAAGGATTGCCTGCAAAAAAAAGTGGTTTCTGAATGTGTTGGAAGCAGGGCTGTGTGTTTTTAACAATTGCCTCCCCAGAGGAGGGCTTGAAAAACCTCACCTTTCAAAGATGTTTCAACTCATATTAGAAAGTGACTTCAATAAAGCTGCTCTCCTGACCACCATTGCTGTGATCGCCGGGCTGGTGATGATTTGTCTGGCCCACATCTCTGGGGCTGGAATGTCACACCGTTTCTTCCCGTTACCCTCCCAGAGAAGGTGAAACCACACTTGTCAGGTTCTTTTACCTATGTCACTGTGTGTGTGTGTGTGTGTGTGTGTGTGTGTATAGTGGGGGGGAGGTGACACACTGGAATAAGGGCCTGCTAGACAGAGTGCATTATGCTTTCAACTGCATCCATTTGCTATTCCCATAAACCATTATTGAGCACCTACTGTGTGCCTGGCACCATGTTAGGGCAAGAGCCCTGACGTATTCTTGCATTGTCACCCTGTAGCGAACCTCACAATATTCTGCACCACTGGCCCCCAGGGCTCCTGCGAACTGACCCAGTTTCCTTTATTTTCATCCTGGATGCGATGTGTTCAGGAAACTTGAATCAGCCACTGTGTTTGACTGTCTTTAGATCAGGGTTTCACAATTCAGCACCCCTGACACCTTGGGCAAAGCAAGTCTTTGTTGTGGGGACTCTTTCCAACCTTGTAGGATGTTTACAGTCTCCCTGGATGTCAGTAGCACCACACACTTCAGCTGTGACAACCAAAAATGTTTGTAGACATTGCCAAATATATCCTTATAACATTGCATTTACCAAAATGCCCTTCTAGCCACTGCCTTGGTTTATGTAGTGATGTGTAAGAAAAGCGAGGATTTATACTCCCCTTTTGCAGTTAAGGTAACTGGGGCCAGGAAGGGAAGAAAGTTGCCCATCCTACTGAGTTGGGAGCAGAGCTATAGTTGCAATTTAAGTCTCCTGTCTCCCCAACCCAGTGTCCCTCTCACGGATCCGTGTAGTGGTGTGCTGGTAAACGCTTCAGAACTGGATCTCTGGGAAAAACAAAAACAAAACACATCTGATTAAGATGTTTGCCAATTTCGTGGTGTAAATACTCCCACCATGGCTGGTTTCTTCTTACAAGACCTCCGTGAACGTAGGGTGGGAAGAGCTATGTATAATTGGCCCTGCCGAGCCAGTGTCAAGTGATGTCAGGACGCCACTGGGTCCACATGGGCTTTGCTCCAATACCCGTCTTTCTCCCTCTGGACCTTGCTCCTCCACCCATCCCCTTCCTTCAGAAACACGCACACGTATTACTGTGAGGCGTGACGGGGAAGCGTTATCCTGGTAAGTGTGTTTGGTCATCTGTTGGAAGAAGTATAGTGCTGTTAGAGTGGAATTTCCCCCCTCCCTCTTCTGTTAAATGAACATTTCTTTTTGTAATCTCTTCATCTAAGGGTAGT